CTGTACGCCAGAAATTTTATTTAATTTGTAGAAAATGTGATTGCAATTTTTTCAAATAATAATGTGACAATAAAATATTTTGTTCGTTATAAAACTTCGCTACTTAATGTGTTAAAAACGTACAGCAGCTTTCGTACTTGTACAGGAGAGGTTCGCAAAAAATAAACTATTGATATGTTAAAAATTTTAGTTGTTTTAATAAAATTCGAACCTATATAATTTTGTTAGTAGCACTAGTTTCCATTTGAGCAAGAAACTAAAAAAAAGAAGCCGGTTATGAGGCTATTTTTTTTAATGTGTTAAGGGTTTCAGGTAAAGAATATCCCCCTCCAAAAAAAAACAACTTTATTCCAACTTGCAGGGTCATCAGTTTGAGCAAATCGATCAGGAATATTTATCTAAAAATCTGGTTACGGTAAAGGCTAGTTGTTCACAGGCAGGATGGAGGCATTCATCCAGACACCTGGGAAGATATTCCTTATGGGTTATCATTAGTTTATTTATATATATATAGATTATTTATTTATTTATTTACTTACTAATTTATTTAGTCTTCACATCGATCATAGCCACAAACTGCGTGAGAAACTATGGGGAGATGTGTATTCTGTTGCTGTTCACTTAATTTCTCAATCGTAACCCTCAAAGAAGTTGAAGTCTGAATACTGATGGGAATGAGAGTTTTTAGCGTGAATTGGTGAGAAAATAGTCACTCCAGTAAAATAAAACTGTTTGTAAAGGCAAATAATCGACAGATTTTAGTTCTATGAAGGTGCCTTTTCGAAAGGAGTCGGCCAACTGGCGCGAGAACACTAACGATAATTCCAATTACTATATTTGTCACTGAACTCTAGAAAACGTGCAGAAATAAAAGTTAGATGTCCAGAAGTGAAATAAGGGGCCATCTCTGCACTCACTCAAAAATCAGGGAATGTGGAAAATATATCTGACCGAGATGGTGGATATTGTTCCAGAAACTAAGGTGGCAGGATATTAAGTCTTAGTATTCTACAGTCCAAATGGTAACTAGTTCATTAAATATCGTTGTTAAATCAACGATTTTTCCCTTTGATCCTCGATTATAAAATGCGATTCCCAAAACATGCCATATATCAAATGGGAATGAACATTCGCGAAATATAGACAACTAGCAGTATGAAAACTTTTGTGATATGACTGAATTGAGAAACTCAAAACGTTGGCCACCTTAACATCGATTGCATTTCGTTCATTTTCATTCGAGTAAACAATACAATTCTCAATGGAGTACACAATGTAGTTATTTTTAATTGGCACATATTTCTTGAAATGAAGACCAACAGTCTGAGGAATATCGAGCATCTGCTGTGGAAATGTATTCGTACATTTCTCATAATTCAGCACTGGTTTTGAAAATGGTTGAAAAATTTATTTTATATAAACATTTAAGTTTTAGTAAGAATGATATCTCATAGTGTTTCATAAACACATTTTGTTTTCTCGTAAAGTTATAATATTTATATATTTCTTGTCTCGTTTCATTTTTTGGCTTTACTACGTACTTATTTAGTAAAGAGAAAGTATTGTAATACCGAGAAATAGGCGATTTTTGACAGAAAAATCCAACGCCTACCAAGTTTAAAACAGACATTTTGATTTCCGAGGGTATTTTTCATAATGCTTCAACGTTTTCAATTAATTCTTAAAAATGTGTCTAATTTTTGTTTTAATTTTTTTCGCCTCTGCAGAAGTTTAATTTTCATTGATACATCTGGATTTTCTAAACCTGCAACAGTTTACATTTTTTCGGCTTCTTTCGACAACTACAGCATTGAAGATTGTTTTTTAACAGTATCTGATTTTAAAGACATCTTCAAATGAAGTAATGCGCAGTACTGGGAAAATATGTCCTTTTATTAGTTATCCCGCAAAACATTAATTGGTTTTGGCGTGAGTGTGCGAGAAATATTGGCAATTTTAATATAGTTTTATATTAAAAATTAATTTAAAATAGTTTAATACAAAAGCTTTCACACATTGACTAAAATAATTTCTCTCATATTACCTGACAGTATTGTGATACAACAGTTGTTAAAAACTGTTGTAAAAATATTTTTTTCAACGTAATTCTCTTTATTGGTAGTACTTGGTAGCCAAGCAGCCCTGTCTTTTATTTTTCTTACTGGGTGTAATCAAATGAGTGGTCAGTATTAGATGTTGTTCATTGTCTTGTGTATTTTTAAACACAGAATTAGACAATGGATCTACAATGAGTAATTCGGTTAAATTATTTCTAAAAAACCTTACTAATTATATTAAATCACAAGAGTTTTATTTTAGTTTGACTTACTTTGAAATACACATCCCAGTCGAATTTAATATACTAAATTAATTAACTGGGGATTTTTAACCAATATGTATGGAAATTCGGCGTATTGTGAGATCTGTTGTTCTTGATTTGAACGGTTAGAGTATGTCTACAAATTTTTGCACGTGATAATTCTTTGAAACTTCTTTCATTCACGGTAACCTAACTATTTTTTAAATGTTTCTTTCATAATGTGACACAAAAATGCCGAAAAAAGGACATAAAACAGCGAACTATCTACAAGTATACTAACATTTGATATTTACCTCTGGAATAGCAAAAAAATTCAGAATCTCCTTAAGCTTAAGGAATCATTATTTATTCAGAATTCATCATAAAACGTCCAGTTTTAATTTTATCACGTCAAGTACAGAAAATAAACCGCAAACCATCAAAATAGAAATTGTATCACTTTCTTCAAAAATACTTTTGAGATGTATACCACTTACACGCATCCGATCAAACACAGATAAAAAATACTGCATTCGTAAACATTGTTTAAGTAGCTACTGTTAAACAATGGATACTTCGTCAAAATTTCGTGACTAAATGATCACGAATTTTTACAACATATCAAAAACAATGTGATGAGTACTACTATCCTATTGGTATCACGTTAGGTGACGATGACGAAGTTAAGTATATACATAGAAATTATCACATGAAGTGACTGTGTTTGTAGAAGGCAGGTAATAACTACAAATGATAATTTTCAGACAGAGCGAAAATAACAAAAGTAGCAAATATTAAAACAAAATCAGTATTTAATTATACCTTAATAATAGAGATTTTTTACACAAGGTTTAGATAATTTCACCAGTAACTGGGGAACTTTTTTAATATCTTTTGATTTTCACGAAATGTTATTTGCTGTGGTCTATTGAAAACATTTTTTTTACAGATGATTGCTGTATTTTAGACTATTGTCAGTGTAATAGGATTTTGCGGAAATTTGGTTTATGGAAAACCTTACCAAAGCGTTTATAAGACTAAGTAAATTGACCGATAAATAGACATATTTTGACTTCTGAATTTCCGGGAAATTGTTACTTAATATATAAAGTTTAGAGCATATTTAATTCCGGTTAAAGGAAAGACAAAACCCCTTTTTTTTAAATATGGAGTTAATTCAGCTGAAGTGTTAATATTTTTAACGATATTTAAGTTCGTATCACAGTATAACACTGAAATGAAATTAACCGAATGTGAATCTATGTAATGGCCTATACTGTCAGTTGCTCATTATCGTGTTGTTAATGCGACTTCATATAAAATTAATTTTAAAAAATTGTTAAAATTCGTCGAAATTACAATATTATCGTAAAATTGTAGAAACGGAATTTGGATAGATTGATATTTTTAAATTTCGTATAGTTTAAATATTCCTAGGTCTTTATGATAGTTTTCCGGTTTTAAATTTTACTACGTTGTTTCAGTATCCACATTTAATGTAATATTGAAGGTATATATCAGCATATTCGGTAAAATTTTTTCTCGTATCTTTACAAGAAATGCGTCAATATTTGTCAAATTTCATTCACTAGTGAAAATAAATATTTCATTTTGAATTTATAAAGAATGTAATATGATTCAATTATTAAATGTATTTCTATTTTATCCTTACTTTTAAAGTAAAATTATACTTTTTATTCTTGGTATATTATTCCTGCTTTCGTTCTTTGACATCTTCCGGTTTCTGTAGGATGCCTTTCCACGGTGGGGGCTTAACTGGTGGTCTCCCCTTACCTGCTGCAAAACGACTCGTAAGCTCGCGACTTACTTCCCAGGAAGATCGCCAATTTCTCAATTCTTAGGTTGGGTTATCGGTATGGGGTCACTGCTTCAAGATCGCACTAACAGCAGTGACCCATAGACCAGTTGCGCAATGCACAGCAGGTACTGTACTCACACTCTAATCCTCGGGGTGAGGAAGGGAAATAGGGGAAGTAATTGTGTTTGGAAGTTAAACATGGTGTACTGGGAAAGCATTTTTAATTTCTTTTGCGTCAGATAATTCTCTGGTTATTTGCAACGGTAATACACGCGAAAATTAATTCTCCTGTAGTCCAAAGTCTATGCTAGCGACAGCGGTCCAATAGTATTTGGATAACCTCGAGGGTAATTATATTTAATTACCTAATATAATCTGACAATGGCTTGAAAACACAAATATGTGCTAAGAATTGGTATTTTAAATTCAATATAATAGTCAACCTAACAAACATCAATCAACCCATTAAGTCCATTGAAGAAAGAAGAACGTACAAGTTAAAGCTAGTACTGAGGTGTCGTTATATATTTAAAAAAAATAATATAAGATATAAAATCCGCATAAATTAGAATTTATCGTGCAAATAAAAATTAAAACTTAAATGCGTATTGTAGATTTTAAAAAAAATCATAATTAAGAATATCAGGTGAGTTTTGCGAATGGTTTAGTGGAATTCTGTTTTCTCCACCTACGTCGCGACGTATTCCTTACTATTAACACTCACATAAGTTAGAAGAAAACTAAAATATGCAAACACACAACATTAGAACAGTAACTTGATATGTACATGGAGCAAAGATTTACCAAGTAAAGCAATCTCTAAAGTGATTTAAATTGTTATCATTTGTGTATATCATGCTTGTTCTTCCGCGTAATGTTTACGTGATTAGTCTTTGACCAACTACTGCAAAATAAAAATAAAATATTAAAAGTAAATTAATAGCAATAATGAGAGAATGATAGATGAGAATATAGAGAATGATAATTACAAAATAGTTAATTGAATGTTTTTACAAAAATTAAAGGATATTATTCCAATAATAATTAGAATTAGTAACAAATCACTTACATTCTAATGCTAATATATTCGAATTCTAAATAAATTCAAAATGAACACATTCCACGTCCAAAGATATTTAAATTCCTTAAAGTACACTCAAGTCTAGAAAGGAAATAACGAAATTATTGTGATTATATTAGTTCTAGTTCTTCTGCAGTTTGGTTGACATTTAAACCACTCACAAAACTAGAGGGAAAAGAAAGAGCCAACTCCAAAAATATTTTCCCGTTATTTGAGAATAAAACTTAATAGAATTTTGTATTTCGAATTCTTTGATTTTCATTGAATGTATGTTGATATACGCACTGGGTGTAACTTATGTGTTGTGATAAATGAGGCTCCTTTATTTCACACACACTGAAAATTTTAAAGGAATTTTCTCTTAAGGAGAGAGTTCAACATTTCATATTCTTGAGCACATTCATGTTCATTTATTATTTCGAGAACTACACAAAAATTAAAATATAAACAATAACAAATTTAAAATAATATAATTACGTTTTCTGAGATATCAGATATAAAATTTTTTAATGTGTATTCATCAGGAATTTCCTAATGGTTAATGATATATTTTCAAAATAACTTTGTGAATGCGGGCTATGAAAAAATAACAACGTAGTTTTGTTTTATATTATAAATAAATTCATAGATCTGAGTGACTCAAAATGTAACTTATTTTTTATATTCTTTTCCAATATTCACAAATTACGCAAAGTTACAAAAATGCTCAATTTTAAATTATTTCCTTTCACAGCAAGAAAAAGGATGTCGATTATTGGTTGAAATTGATATAAACCGCAACCTCTGTTCGTCTATTTCCCTCGAAGACGAAGCGCTTCAGGAAATGCAGCAGCATAATGTATAAAATATTTAAAAGGTAAGTAGGGCCATGTTTTATTATTAGGATATTCCGAGAAGTATGCTTATTTATGAGGCTTATTTATTAAGTACACAGAAATAAATTGTATTGAAAATGTTATTATATATTTTACTTATACGTTAAACTGATAAACAATGTAAAGTACAGAGGAGGGATTAAAATCTCAATGTGAATCGAATACTGAACACTCAACATTCACACGGAAACGTATTTCTATATTTTCTTTTTCTGATGTTTCGTCGAATTACAGTTTATCTCTTCAGAGAAAAGTTGTGATTTATTTAGCATAGCTACACGTTTTCCTCATCGAATTGAAAATCAACTTACACGAAATGTAAATACATTTAAATTGCATGTCAGTTGCACGTTTATTTACATATTTTTTTCTTTATAGAAATAAAAGCATGCTTTCCATTTACTAAACGCAGCCCTAAAGATTCCTGCGCAATTGGCGGCCTCTTGGTCGCCTGAGCGCGGCCGACCCCGCGGCCTCCGACCGGGCTCCTTTCCGCACCAGGCGCGCGCCGCCGCGGGGCCCCGCTGACAAATGCCCGGTCTTTTACCCCTCTGCGGCGCGGCGCGGCGCGACGGCCCGCGTCTTCTCGAGCGATGGCTGGCGAGGGCGATTTCGACGGGGCGGCGGAGAGGGAGACGCTTTTCGGGGGCGTCGCAAAACGCCCAATTTGAGAGCGAAAATTCAGCATCCCCCCCGACGACGCAGGCCATAAAAAAGCCGCCACCGACGCGTTGGCGGCGGCGGCGGCGGCGTCACGTCGGCCGGGGGCGGGTCGAGAGCGACTGCGACTGGGGAGCGGTGGCGGAAGAGGCGGCGGCGGCGGTGGTGGCAAGTTGGCAGGCAATGAGGCGTCTCGTAAGAGTAGGCTCGAGACCTGGTAATAAATCACCGCGGCTGACACGTACAAGTCACCTCGGCCAACGCGACGGGCCCGGGCGCGGCGCGGCGGCGGCGCGGTGGCGTCCCGCTGCCCGCTTCCCTCGGCTTCGCTCCGGGGAGGCGGCTTCGCCCCGCGGCGGCGGGATCCGCGACTGCCCGCCGCAAACGGAGGCGCACTATGCGCGAACGGATTCACAAGCTGCGGCCACCTACTTCGAAAACTCATGTTCCATAAAAAAAGATCAGCAGTCCAACTGCTTGCTGGAGTGATTGATTGTTTTGTGATTCCGGGCCCGACAACTACCAAGGTCATTAATCCCGTAAGTGTAATGCATGGTTTTTGCTCAGGAGGCGGCGGTGATCTTTCCCCGCTGTGGGGCGAGATTCGGCGCCGACCTACCGTAAGCTAGCAGGGTTTCCCCAACCAGGTATCTCCCACCAGCTGGAACAAGTTCAGCTCCTGACGGGTCTCGTGTAGTAGTGTACTCCGTGTTAGTGTACGTGTGTGGGTGTGTAAGGGGTGAGGATAGCACAAGGAAGAGGAAGGTGAGATCGCGCGCGGTCCGTGGCCCGTTTGTTGTCTCCGACACTCGCCTGGTGGTCTTAATTTGACCTAGCTTACAAGCTAGTGTCGAAAATGCTGCCACCGTCGGGACTCGAACATAGGACCTCGCGGTCAGAGAGACTGCAGCCCTTGATGCTCGGAGCCATCTCTCCTGGTTAGTTCAAATGCGATTTAATGAACTTTATTAGCTTTCATATGAATATGGATATTCCCAATTACAAGCGTTCTATAAAATTCTTCTTTCCGAAGTCAAAATACGAGCTACTTGTGCCAACGGAACACAAAGTTTATGAACGGCTGACACATTAAATTATGATATATTACGTTTCGAATCGAACATTTTAAGAACGAATATAAATGCTCCATGGTATATTTCAATCTCATCTACCCGCTGAGTTTAGGTCCGAGCTAAGTTCTAGCCAACATTCCTACTAACTGCAGTTAATCTGACCGGGAGGTGCCGGAGTTCAAGTTCTGACAGTGGCGGATTTTTGACACTAGCTACACTGCTAGATTGAATTCAGCCGCTGTCTCGAGGAGAAATCTAACGAACCGCTACTATGATCGATAGTTTTCCGTGATTTCTGTCGTCAGTTCCTTGTAAATGCTGGGGCAGAACCGTTACAAACGGACCATGGACATCGCGCCATCTTCTTTCTACTTCATTGTATCCTTTCCCCATTCACACGCAATTACACTTTCATGTACCAACCACCACTCGTGTCGGAATACCAGTCGGAAGCTCAAGAGTTTGTCTCAGCCGGAGCAATGTCTCTCTTGCGGGAAATACGTAAAGGGGAAAATTCTCCGCTAGCCGACATGTAGGTTGGCACCATATCCAACAATCCAATGGGGGATGAACACCACCACTTTCCGATATCAAAATTTCACTCTACTAATGGGACTAATGACCTTTGTAGTTGACGTACTCAGAAACACCTATCAATTGAACTCAACTATTCACCATAACGTAAAGATTCCAACAATCTACGACATTATATGAAGAAATAGAACAAAAAATAAACAAAACCAAATTCTCATCTCAACTACCTGGCAGAACCTTCGACAACAGTGATTTTAGCTATAAGATAAAAAGGAGATGGCATCATAAATTTACCATTTCGTTTCACCAGTTTCTTCAGTTTTATTTTGCTAGAAGATAGATAGTGAGAATTAAAATAGTTTGTCGACAGAAGCTAAATTTTGGGTTAGCAAATGCCGAAAATCCTCGTTCCCTTCTTTATTAATCGTTTAACTACTCATGATAAAGAGAGGGAATTGGAATTCCGGAGCTTAAGAAAACGTGAGCCAATTGTACACGGCATGATATCCATAAGCGGCGGCATGAAAATGTTGCGGTCTCGAAATGGAGAATTTGCGAAATGGAGAAATAGGTTTTCGGAATGGTTGCAGCTTGGAAAATAGGGCACTTCACCAACTCAATTTCCTTCCCCTGTTACTGTTTGTAGTTGTTATTTCGACTTGTAAAAAAGCTAAAGGGGCTTTTCGTGGGTTATCCTACCTCTATCGTCTCTAGCCTATCGTCGATCGTCTATCATCTATCGTCTATCTTCTTTCGTCTTTTGTCTACCGTCTGCCGTCTCCGATTTCATTAAAATTTATCGAGAAATAATGGATGTATTCGATTGTCAGAATTTCGTCTCAAAAATAATGTAGCAGTGCTCCCTTTTGAATTAATTCATCCGCCAGAATTAACACAACACTGCTTGCAAATTGGTTACTTGCAAATTGGTTACAGATATGAAGCAACAAAAGAGCCTCTAGTGGATTCTCTGGAAACATTGCAAAAGAAACGTGATTTGCCAAATTTCAGACAATGGGTGCAATGCGTTAGGTTAACAAAAACTCATCAAATTTAATAAAATACTACTAATACAATAATTTCGCCCCTTAATACTTTCGAGCTAATTGTGAAAGGAAAATCCACGCTTGAAGCATAAAGGTCAAAGCACCTTTTAATGGTTTTTGATAGAATAATTTCGCAAGAGAAAATAAAAACGCAAACATATTTCTTTACTTCAGGTAATATTTAAATAATACTACTGCAAAGTTGTTTTAATGCAATGGTGCTATAGCCCCTAAAAATTAAATAATTCAAATGACAAAAATGTAAGTTAATATATGTTATGAAAATTAAAACCGGGAGAGCTTGTTCAGTGCATCAACTGATGTCACAGCAGTACCCCTGACCGGGAGGTTTAAGGTTCAAGTTCCACCGGTGGCAGGATTTTCGGCACTAGCTGGATGGATTTCAGTCGATGTCTGGAGGAGAATTCTAGCGGCCGGCTGCTCCGAATGCCGGAGCGAACAAACGGGACCGCGCGCGATTTTTCATTCCTCTTCCATGTTCTATTCTCACTCCGTAATAACACACACACACATACATGCACTACACTACCACACTTTCCGGGAGGCCGGTCGAGAGCTTAGAGCTCATCTTGGCTGAGGCGGTGCCCCACTCAGAGGAGGTACGTTGTTGGATA